TAGAAAAGTGTAGTAGTGAAAAGGGTAAAGAGAGGAGTTAGTTAAATACTAAATGTGCTACAAGTCAAAAGTTCAGTATAGTATGGCATTGAAAGGAACAAAGAGGGGTGAGGGGGGAGAGGGTGAGTAAATGGGCTAAGGTAGGAATTAACAAGGGTGAAAGTTGCCAAAGAAAGAAGTGTGGGATTCTGCAACGATACCCGTTGGGTAAGGTAGGGATTAGCAAAAAAAGAAAGGGGACATTTAAGGCGATTAGATCACAGTTTCAAGCGAAATGTCAGGAGGGAGAGAATCCATGAAGGGGGTTGTTTTGACATAACCTCCAGACAACATAAATGTATCCAGGGGGAAGCGGAAGAGATAATGGGGGAAGGAAGGGAGTGATGCAGCTGAAGCAGGGGGGGGGGGGGGGGAGATGGGATGCGTTGGGAGGGAGTGGGAGGAAGGGGTGTAGGGGGAGAATGGATGTCGCCAGTTACTTTATGTACAGGTAATGGGAGGAGAGAGATTGGATGATGGTTGAGGTGTAGGTAAGTTATCTCGGGTCATGATTAGTTAGTTTTGATTGTCTTCGAGAGTTTCTGAAGCGGAGTTCGTTGGGGAGGTCTGAGAAGCAAAGGTTTTCTTATGAGGGGAGAGGAGGGGACAGATGTATGAGGGGCGGAGGGAGAGGATGATGTAGAAGATGCAGTAGAAGATGGGGTAGAACGTTTAGCTTGCCTTGTGCGGTGAGTTGAGCGAGGAGGAAGAGGGGGGTAGCGGTTGGAGTGTCTGGAATGGTGGTAGAGATTGGGGTGTCTGGATTTAGAGTGGCAAAAGAATTTGACTGGGAGAGGGAGGGGGTAGAAGTGGGATGAGGAAGAGATAATGGGGTAGATGTAGGAACAACTTGGGAGGAGGGAAGGGACAGAACAAACGGTAGTAGTGGAGTAGAGAGTAAGAGAAAAACCTCGTCTGTGTGCTTCCTGTCTGACCTGTCGTCACATAAAGTGAGGCCAAGTTTGAACATGAGGATTGCTATCTGAGACTGAAACTTGTAGGTGGGGAAGCCCCTGTAAAATACATTATGGGTTCCACCACAGTTGGCACATGTGATTGTGCAGAGCAGTTTGATCCATCATGACCAAGTTAGGCACATAGAGAGCATAAGGCTGTGAAGCGGCAGTGCTTGAAAGGGTGGCTTACACTGCCAACAATTCTAACATTGACAGGGGAAGGTTGATATGGGTGGACAAGGAGGGACTCTCCCCCAATATTGTGCTGATACTGCATCACAGTCCATGAGGCAGGCGAGGAAGTTTTCTCCACAATCTGACCAATCCTTGTCGTAGATGATAATGTTTTAGCTTGGGATTCTGATGTAACTGTGACAATGCGAGAACGATCGTGGCGGCTGCGGAGGGAAATTTTGCCTACTTATTTTAGGAGGCAGTACTGGAAGTGGAGAAAGTTGTCAGAACAAGAGCCTAGAGGGGATCACAAAAATCGATCCCATTTGACTGGGCTAAACAGAGTATTCAAAAGGTTTGTAAAGTATTGTGACAAAAAACGTAAAAATGAGTTAAGATTAGGATAAGTGGACAGAAGGGGATGAAGAAGAAAAGAAAAAGGAAAGGGGGAGAAGAAAAGACCAAGCAGAAATAGTCGAGGGGAGGGCTGAGGTCCAAAGCAGAGGTGATCCCCTACATTGGGCCTCAGTCTCCATCTCCTAAGCGCCCCCCAATGAGCAAGGGATTGAAGGGGGGGGGGGGGTCTGGAGATTGAGAATGACCTTGGTGGATGATTTGGACTGGATTGGGCATCGCGGAGGTGATGGTAGTAGCAATGTTCTGAGTCATGGTCAAAGGAGAGCCTGGGGATGGGGAATCGTGAGAATTTAAATCCATGGGGCTAATGATATAGTGGCAAGCCTCAGTGCCCCTATTAAGGGTGCAAAATCCTAATTACTGGCCATGGTAAGCCTTGAGTATGTTGGGGAGAGAAAAGGTCCACCCCTTGAGGCATAAGGACTAGACAACTAAACAGGGGAATACTGGGCTCATGGCTCCCCCAGGCCTTTTATGACTGGCACAAAGTCAGCCCTTGGACACAGCTGTCACACCTTACGAAGTAGATTGCTGAAGAAAAAGAAAAACAGAAAAGGGAAGAAGAAAAGACCATGTAAAATTAGCCGCGTCGAGAGCTGAGGCCCAAGGCAAGGTGATCCACAGCATTAGGACCCAGTCTCCGTCTCTTAAGCCCCCCCCCCCCACCCCGGCAAAAACAAGCATGGAATTGAGGGGGGAGGGTTCATTCCATAAGGTTCATGTGTGATACTCTATCATATGCCTTTTTAAGTATACACATTCCACCCAGCCATCATTTTTGCAATATTTCTGAAATTTGTTACACATGTCCTACCCTCCCTAAAACCAAATTACTTATTTAATATCATACTGTGTTTTTTTCAAGTTCATGCTTCCTAATTAACCTATCTAGAATCTTACATATTACATTAGTCAGCCCTTTCTCTTCTGATGGGTATCCCAGTGCCTGCTATGCAATTTGGCCCCTACAACTCATTTGCGCTTGAAACTCCCGTTTTCTTTACCGTCTGGCACTCAGGAACCACTGCAGAAATATAATAATCGGGCATCTGGCAGACGCAACCAATCTAGGTCAAAACACAGGGGGAAGGGTGCCAATATGGACATAAAATTTCACTCGTTTTTGATTACCTATAACTGGTAAATGAATTGAGTTACACATTATTCTTTATACAGTATTGTGCCCAGATAAATAAATACAAAGGGTTCACTCCATAAATCATGCAAAAGTATGATTTAACAAGGAGATAGATTAATACTATCATACGTAATTTTATAGAAATTCATCAGTTATTAATTATTTTCATTATATAGGCCTCCCATTATCCCCTGTCCGTTGCTTCCCCTCCCCCTCACCCCTTAGCCCTCCTCTCACCTTTCATTTCTAGATTAGACTCTTTTCTTATCTCACTGCTCTTCATCCCTCTCTTCTTTCTCCCTTTTTCCTCATCCATCTTTTTTTTCCATCTCCTTCCCTTCCTTCCATCATCTTTCGCCCTTACTCTGTTTCTCCTTTTCCATCTCATTCCTTCCCTTTTTTTTCTCTCTCTCTCTCTCTCTCTCTCTCTCTCTCTCTCTCTCTCTCTCTCTCTCTCTCTCTCTCTCTCTCTCTCTCTCTCTCTTCATTCTCACTGCCTATTCTGGGGTTTAGAAGAATCTAGCAAGAGGGTTTTTGTCTTACAGCAACAGTTCTGTGAAGAATACTAAATATTGTAAAAGTTGGCATATAGTGTGCTTAAGTCAGTATGCTAAATTGGCCTAAATTTGTTCAATAAAAATACAGATGTGAAGCATTCTTGGGGGAGGGAGAGAGAGAGAGAGAGAGAGAGAGAGAGAGAGAGAGAGAGAGAGAGAGAGAGAGAGAGAGAGAGAGAGAGAGAGAGAGAGAGAGAGAGAGAGAGAGAGAGAGAGAAAGAAAGAGAGAGAGAGAGAGAAAAAGAAAGAAAGAAAGAAAGAAAAAGGAGGGGGGTGAAACAGGAGAGGGAGATGTGCATGTATGTATAATTTTCATTCCTAATTGCACTTCCACATATTCAAATAAATTTATTATGGTCTTAAGTACTACATTAAGTATCATACATAGGTTGTTATATGTTACAAGAATTATATATAAGCTGTGAGGGATTGGAGATAACCCAAGGTAGTGCCTGTGATCTTGGTCCCATGAGACCACCAGATATGGCCATCTGCCTTACTGCTGGGTATGGGAATATGACACTGCCAGACACTATCACCCTTCTGTGTACAATGACTCTCTCAGGCTTTAACCAGAAAACGGGTATAGTTGCTGGGCACTGTTTGTTTGCCTGTACACAAGGTCTTTCTATTAGTTGGTATATCTTCTACCACCTTCTAATAATTTCATTACTATTTGAAAAATACTGGAAATATAGGGTTCTTGTTTGTGAAATAAAACTTGTAATTTGAACTATTTTAAAGATTTTGAGTAATTCACACCTTTTTATATGCATTTTACTGAAAAAATAGTGTTCTTTACAGTTCCCAAAAAACATCCTTCTTTCCATTTGTTTGTGTACCAGGCACCTGCATTATTTTCTTTCTTGTTTATATGATATCCACCTTCTAAAATATGTTATTAATTACAGAGGTAACACATCTCACTTATTACACTGTGTAAACTCTTTTTAATTGATCATTTATTCTTGTGAGTTTCCTGTTTATAGGAAGAAGAGTACTATACCTTTCCCATACACCATCTTTTTGCCTTCAACCCATTTGCCCCTGATTTCTGCTCTGTCCCCTGTAGTTTTTGGTGAATTCTGTTACATACAGATGGCTCCACATGTGCTCAGCCGGCAAGGAGTCTATCAGTAGGCCCTAGTTACTGACCCTGATTTTCTCATTCATTGAATTGGCGGGAAAATTAATACCATTGCTATCGATATTGTTATTATTGTTATTGATGTTATGATTATTAAATTGTCATTAGAATATATTAGACAATGAAATGATACAAAAAAAAACCCTTTCCTAAAGTGAAGGCAAAGGGTAAACAGGTGAAATAGGTAGTTCTTGATAACTGGCTATTTGGTGATTAAGAACTTGTGGAGCCATCTATGTGTACATAAAATAAATAAATGTGTATCAAAGTGGGTATGGCATCTATTCTTGCCACGTGGGGCAAATGGGTTAAACAGAAAGAAATAAGTTTCCTGCATAATTTTTCATCTTTCATCCTTTCAATGTGGAATTTTCTGACATGGTATTAAATGGATATGAAGCATTATATGCAATTTCTTTTTTCACCTTAAATGTTTTTCTTTAATTTGAACCTTGGGATATTTATTAGTTACCTCTGTTTGCACCCATTCAAAGTTTTGGAGAATTAACGGTGTCCACTGTCCATCAACTACGATGGAAATATAAGTATTAAATGGCATAAAACAAAACCTCTATCTCGTTACTCATTTATTATCGAAGCATTAGTATAATCATAAGCAATTTAAATACAAAAAATATTCTATGATGATTGGTCAAGTACAGTATATTCAACCAAAAGGACTTTAGTACATCTTACCATATTTTTGTTACTCACTGTGAAATTTATTTTGTGCCCCATAATTCAATCTTTCAATGGGCTTACTATATTATTATATTATTTACAACTTATAACAAAGCATGAAAGCTAAGGTTTATACAAACAATACAACAAAAACACAAAAGACAACATTCGGAAATTTAGCCTAATTAAAAATCTGTTAAAGAGTTAGGTAACAGAAGAGGAAGAAAAAAAAAATGACACCAAGACCGCTAAGTAAACAATGCAAATGTTACAAGACCAAACAGAGGCATGAGATGGTGTTTTGCCTCCATTAAAACCCGGAACCAGCCTGCAGCATTTGCATCCTCTACTTATGGTCAATATTTTTTTTCCCAGAGCCACACCTAATGTCATGTAGGTTTGACATAGCTTTCTGAGTCCGTTCCATCCTCGATTTGCTGTTCCAGGAACGAAAGTTTTTTTGTTTTTTGTTTTTTCAACGTTTTGTCATGAGATCAGCTGTCGTGTAACTTAGATAGTGCTACAAGAATCTTTTCCTATTAACAATTAGGAATCACAATAAAATGATATACTATCCGAGACTCAAATTACTGTTCTCATCACATTTGCACTTTATTAGTAGCACAGACAATAAACCATTGAGGCGCATTTTAACATAATTTCAAGTACCAATATTGCTTAGTATAAATTCTATATGACTATAAAGCACCATTAAACTCCTGCTGAACTCCAAGTTGCAAATCAACATATATTCCTTGCAAGACGTGGCATTTTGGCAACCTGTAATACCCCACATAGGCTTGCTTGATACGCACATAGGCAAGTTAGGTATGAAGCGTTAATGGTGAGTACATGAGAACAGCCTTAGACTATGAATCAGGGAAATGAGACAATACACTTGTAACTGAGGTCTTCTTAAACACTGGTTCAAGTGGGCGGAGCATAAAAAAAAAGAAAAAAAAGAAAGAAAGAAAAAAAATCTAATAGAATCTAACATAGTATGACATAAGAATTGATGAAGACAATTATTGACTTGCATTGTCACCAAGAAAATATTTGAAGTTGAAAATTCTGAACTGTATGCCACAAAGGTGAAAATAAACAAAAAATAAAATAAAAATCAAGCAACAATGTCTTGGAGACTTTACACAATAAACAACCTTTTCAAAAGCAAGCACGATATGTTGAGTGGAATGGCTGAGAACTCTCAAAATGGGCTTGCACTACCCTAAACATATCACTTTGTAGGGCCGGATCAGGCATTATCAATATAAAATAGAACTTGATACCATGATTTCTATCCTATATTAACATTAACCAAATCCAGTCCTATTATCAGGCAACAGGATTTGCCCTGTCATGATATCACATTTGCTAGCAAATTCAAAAGATGAATATTCCATAGAAATTATATGGATCTAAATCCAACCAGAAGTCAAATATTTCAATTAGAAAAATGCCAATCAAATAATTTCAGAGATCTCTAATCATTACAATGTTGTCTATTTAAAGCTTTTTCCAAAAGAAAATATGATCAATTATATATCATAATGTGCCACAAAAAATGTGGCAACATGTTACACATTTACAATTTTATCACTTGTAACTGTCATACATCTATGTGTTTTAATATAAACTGTACAGGGTACCATGTAAATTTTCTTTACAACTTTCAGTGGGCCCTAGCACAATATAATATAATTTTGCCATTTAATCTCCTACAACTTGCGTCTTGGCTCTGCGATGCCCGTCTTCCTTGCTATCCCGGTAGGCGTGTCTGAAGCAGCAGAGGATTTGCGGGCAATCCTAGTAGTTCCACCTGTGCTGCTGGAACCTGAAGGATTCCGAGTCCTGTGGAATGGAATCGGTGTTTATTTGTGTTTGAAATAAATGCATCAACCCTGTTTGTTTGTCTTTTCTAAAGGACTTTCTCTGTAAATGTAAATAGAATTAGATTATAAAGTTAATATGAAGAATTCTTTGTATGATACTACTGTTGTTATGGGAATTAGCTTTTGACATGCAGGGGTAAAGTGTGAATCAGCATAAAATGAACTTTCTATTCAAAAGAATATCAGTCTTCAAAATTCTATACTGTAAGTAAAAACAATCACAAGGAAAAGAATATAGTAAAGAAAATAGATGTAGTTTCTAATCACACCTTTCAATCAAATAAGTTGAAAACCAATAACACAAAACAGTGCTTCACCAGATATATGTCACATAATAACAACATCAGTCAGGAACTTGCCCATTCTTTAAATATATATTTGCAATATATAAATATCTGTAAACCCACACTCATTTTCGTAATTAACATGTCCCTAAAAATGCCATGCTTGGCATTTTACATCCCATATTATTACCTTGTAGTAGTGGAGGTCTTGGGAGTGGTGCTTTGTGTGGTGGACACTTTGTGTCTGTAATAGTTATTAAAAGCATATTACAGTTACGAGTTACACAAGAAAATTATTACATTAAAAGGTACTGAAGTAATACGAAAATAAACTTTGTTCTTCACCTTTTCTAAAGTTTTCATTTGTTATACAAAAAAAAAGAAAAGAAAAGAAAAAAAAGAAGTGAAGGCCAAAGGCTATTTTCAAATCAAATGTAAATCATGTAAGGAATCAGCTAAACTAAAATAAAAAAAAGAAATAGTAAAAATTACATTTAGGAATCACAAGATACATGCAATAGTTAAAAATACTATTAATCACTGACTGCAAAAACTCTATCAATTAGTAAAATCAAAAAAGGGCAATACATCAATCAAAAAGGGACTCTAAAAAGACTGCCATCACAACTTGTTATTCATGGACTTCCACCCATGCCTCTATCATTTCACTACGACCCAGGTTAGTTACCTCAGTGTTGGAATTTTGCTTGTGGAATGATTGGAGTTAAGACTAGTAGTTGATGAAGTTCGGGACCTGTAGAAATTATTCAGACATTATGTACCTTCACCTAATAGTTAGAACATTGTTAATAAATATACTATAATATCTATTACTATCTGGAATAACTATATATGTTAGCCAGAGTAAAAAATTCTCTTATTAGGAGTAACTAAATGAACATGAGATGTTACTATATTGACTACTGAATGAATGCATACAAAACTATTACTCTCTCTAATCCAACTAAATAATATTAGAACTAATTTCATTCATGTTTTATGTATATGTCCAACACCTACATAATGCTCTGACTATAATCTTTGCAAACCTGTTTTGAAACAATGCTTTATTATTGTGTTCATCACAAGCAAATTTTACCTATCCTCTTCATCTGCTTAAGGTAACACAAGTTTAGCAATAACAAAATGCACATTGGCAGCCAGGGGAGGGCACCTGTTTACCTTAAGGGTGTTCCCGCAACATTCAGGTTAGATGTGGAGCCAGATAGGTTAGTCCTGGGGAGTCAAGAAATGGCCATCACCACAAAATTACGGAGTTGGAGTACTTTCACTCCTTAACCAATATGTGAGCTTAATGTCATACTGGGAATCATTCTTGCTAAATTAATATGGTGGTTATAATTATTATTGTTTGCTCTTTACAAGTGATTCCTCATGACTGTAACTGTTTGGTAAAGCTTCAAATATCAAGGCAGTTCATAGTCAGTTCATGTAAAAGTTCACTCATTTTCATTTAAATATTTAGGCTTTAATCTGACCACATTAGAAAAATATCAAAATATAGAAAGTTAAATCATAGTTAGTATCATCTAAACTACACTTAGGTTAATCATTAAAAAAAATAAAAAAATAAATAAATAAAATAAAACCTAAAACACCTATGCAAAAAAACAAGATGAAACAAAAACAAAACAATACGGAACTTTTTCATGACAATGACCTGCTTACTACCAAAACAAACAAACAAAAATGAATAAAAAGGCCAAAAATTACTTGCTCTTTTACAGGATTTGGCACTAATGAAGCCATTGGTAAGTCATGCAACAACACAACACTGCTCTTAATGATCAACTAACAGACACTTATATCTACCATACTAATATAACATATTACATGTTAAAAATTAAAACAATATCTTGAGCCAACTCAAAAAAGGCACAATTAACATGAGCAGTTTCATTTTCTATAAATCAATTGAAATTCCCTAAGAATATAAACTTCATCCATAAAAAAGGCCTAATATATAAACATGTCTGCAAAATAAAATAATAAAAACACAAAAGAGTGCATAAATATGTGCAAATACAAAAGTATCCATGCAACATAACATCATTCCAAAATAGAAAAAAAGCTAATGTACAAAACGTAACAAACGCATTTCAAGCAAGTACTCTGACGAGGTAAATGCGTTTCAAGAGCCCCAAGATAAAAACAATAAAATGGATTGTAAAAGACAGTCTTAAACTGAAGTAAAACTAAAAATGGGTAACATTACTTCATCTCTTTTCTGTCAACTCGAAACTGATTCTGAATTCACTACAAGACTTCACATTGGTTAAAAAGAAATTGTTAATTGAATAATCAATAAAACTGTCTATCTGTAAATTGTTGAGACATATGAATAATGCTTCACATAAAAGTCCTTGTTAATATCAGTTATCCAAAGCAGAAACTGAAAATGATTATTTCCAAATTCAGAAACCTATTTGCTTCCTTAGCTTTTCATAATAATACACAAAACACAATCAAGTCTTACATTCAATAAAATACTGTCTTCCACAATGCCACACATAAATAAACAAAGTATTGAAGCAAGACCACACTGAACTGCTTAGAACACCACACTAATTTACCGTTCCCAATCAGAGGCAGCACCCACAAGAACCGGGATTTTGGTCCTAGAGAAAAAGAGACCCATGAACATTAGGTCTTAAAACCAGGACGATTTCCACCCAGCAGTATTTAGTGTCACTGTCACACCAGTGGTATACAGATTCTGCATTAGAGTAAAAAAAAGCAGTATCCACTCCTCTAAAAACTCAGATGCATTTCCTTTTCAATCAGCCACCCAATACTATGTCCAATGAAGTCTGACTCTAGCACTAAATTTGAGTTAAAGATAGCACCCCTTTTATAAGCTTCTTTTTTTTACCTTCCTTTTATGAACAGCCAAAGCTTTATCTCTCTAACCAAGCAATTTTTTTTATAAACAGTTTTATAAATAAGTGCAATTTAACACTGCATTTTGATAAAAGACAGACCCAAATATATTTTGCAGAAGGTACTGGAGGCCCCAAACCAGTAAAAATAACATGCAAAATAACTAAGAAATTCACGACTAAATTATCACAACAATTGCAAAGTAATTGCAGGTGGTATAAACCATAAAATTAATTATTCTAAGCAGAGCAACAACTATGCAATAACTTCTGCAATTGTGAGCCATGAACAAGGATTATGTATAATTTTTTTTTTTGATACTCTTAAAACCTGATTAGTATTCTCCAACAGAGTGATTAGTGTCACTGAGAGTCAAGGAGAGGTAGTAGGTTGGGCTTGAGTACATGCCTGGATTCAATTGCTTTTTACCACAATGTACAGGTATAACCAATATAGGAGTCTAAGGTTTTTGGGCAGAGGATTTTGGCAGGGTTGAAATCACTGTTCATGAGAGAAGTGAATGGCACACGTGGGACAAGGTTTCCACAATACAAGGAAAGGACCAAACTAAGCTATTCATGCCACAGTATTATCATTTACCTAATTCCTGCCTCTTTCAATCGACTGGACAGAGTCGGTGAATATAACCTGGAGGGAAAAATTAGTTCAGTACAACAAATGTGTTACACTACAATTTCAACAGCAATGCAGATAAATGTGTTTATTTTCCTGTGTCACCCCATGCATTCAAGCAACTGATAGGAATTGAGAAATGAATTAAGAGATAGAGAAAGAGAGATAGAGAGAGAGAGAAGGAGAGAGAAAAAACAACTATTTCTGGGAAGTCGAGATTAATTTTCTCGGCTGCTTAATTATTCATGTTGAATGAGCTTAAACCAGTTTTCTTAATTTCACTTATTTCATTACTTTTGACATCCCATCCATAGCTTCTCATTGTGTGTCAATAAAATACAAACCTGATCAACATCAGGTGTTACAATTACCATCCAGGAAAGAAAACCTGTAAAGGAAAGAACCCAGCACCAAGGCTATAAACCCCATGATGCAACTAAGTTAACTGAGAGTAATGTTTGCAACTAATAAATGTACTGTACATTCTTCAGCATTCAGCTCCTGTAACAGGAAATGCTGAAACTGAGAAATAGTGCAATAGATTAGATGTAAGGGTGAGGCATTCCAATTACTCTTGTGATTAGTAACTGAACATTACTGCACACATTCTTGCTATACAGTTAATTCATTCATTTAAAACCTCTGACAACTAACTTTTTAAAGAAAAGATTTATAATATTAGGTCTATTATAACTTTATGACCACAAAAAATCTTTAAGAAAATGTAAAGCCTTTGTATTTGACTGTACAAGGAAAAATGTGTTTGGTACTTTCAGCAATAGACCCAATCGGGGAGATGATGATGGTGGTTCTTTGTTTTTCAATATGTTACCTGGACGAGGATGCCACAGCTACAGGAATGCTCGATGCTGACGGCGTCCTTGTCATGCTCCGCGATCTGTTAGTTTATGTTTAATGAAGCTTTGTATGACTTTTAATCATAACACCATGTGTCAGGAGTATCCCAGCAATGGATGTAATGTGATTCATAAGCTGTTAAGATTTACATAGATTTTTTTGTCATGCTATTCTGAAGGTGTTAGTAAAGCGTATGGAATAATAAGGGTTCATTAATTGGTTATATATAGTAATATGAGACATGCAGTCGCTCCTTTTATTATTTTTTGTAATATAAATGTAAATAATCATTAGGAGTTAGGATCAAAACATAGAATACTTGAAATCTTAGGTCTAAAATAACAATAATAATTCTTAGCTTCCAGCAACATTTCAATGTTTCTCAAATTTCCTGACAATTGTGCTTAAATCTGGGTAAATATTCTTATCATTACCGTTTCAATCAGAACAGTGTAAGAGCAAGCTACCATGATATAAATAAACATGTATATATATCTTAAACATCTATTTATGTGTATGAAAATGAAACTAGTACATTAAGAATACTAGTAATCTGCCATGAACACCAACACAATAACCTTACCTAGATGAGACAGAGATGGCACGTGTCCCAGTTCCGTTGACAGTGCCTGTGGAGGACTTGACAGGGGCTGAGGCCTGGAGAAGAGGAGGGGCCCAGAAGTTAGTGGAGAACCACAGCCACGATATTACTTTGAGATGGCATTCCAACAAGGCCAGTTCAGATATTACAATTCCAGTTTTCCCTTACAAGAATGGAAGTTTTAACAAATCTTTGTAAAAGTTTATGTTGTGCTTGTTAGTTGAAAAGTTTCTTTAGTTAGATATATATGAAAAACTTTGTTAATGATGAATTACAAGAATTTCAGGAATATTCAAACTTCCTCAATAAATATCAATTCTAAATTAAACATGAATAAGTATTTAAAAGAGAAGAGCGAAATTTTAAATATAGTTACGATGGAAAATTTTGGTTCTATAACCTTCAGTTTCAGTAAATTGTCATTTGTGATTAATAAAGACCAAAGGATTCTAATTACCCGCAATACTTCATAATTCACAATCTACACTCACTCTTACACAACTGCAGTTAGTGGGTACATATGACAGAACCAATAAAATTGCTGACTTATCTTTGACTCTAATATAACCTAAGGTCCCTTGAAAATGCTTTTTTCTTTTCACTTTTTTTTTCTTTTTTTTTTTTTCATAAGTAAAGTCTAAACTCAGCAAATTATTGGTTCAATCCATTGAACTCACGAACATGACAAAGTCGCATGTACCATTAATATAACCATGCTACAATAAAAAACAAAAAATATTCATCCCTGACTGTTAGACATAAAAAGAAGATTAAACTCAGAGTTACATCTAGAAGTAATAAATAAAAGACATGGAAATTCCTGAAATGAAGAACCAACTTCTCTTCAACATTCTATGCATTTAGCCCGAGTTATTCACATAAGGCTGCTGGTTACCTTATGCTTATGCTCAGTAGATAAGACACCTAGATATACTTCATACTCCGTTTCTCACCTTTCTAAGGGAAGAAGACCGCTGAACCCCAGAGGACTGACTAGATGGTGTGCGTGTTCGCCCTGTGAATGAGGGTGTGCGTCTCATGGGGGTCCGGCCGCCATCATAGGAGTCTAGGGACACCTCTGAGCCTGCACGACTTGGTGGCCGAGACCCAGGCCGAGAACCAGGACGAGAGCCAGGTCCTCGAGAAGCAGGGCGGCTGCCTCCTCGGCTTCCTGGTTGACTGTCAGCTGAAGGAGTAATCAACATTAGGACACTAGGAATACGACCTTTATCTCTTTAAACAAATAAAATTATGATAGTATCAAAAAGGATAAAAATTGGACATAACAGTAAAAAATGCTTCCTGCATATCATAGAACTGCAACAACTTACCTGAGGTATTATAAGATGAGCGGGATGTGACTGGAGCGGAAGCCTTGCGCTTACCACCATGGAGATGGAACGAGGAAGTGCCTCCTTCTTCACTAAAGGAGGAATCTGGAGTTCCAGCACTGAAGGAAGCACGGCCCATGGCTGAGCTCTTGGCTGTTCTTTCTCGGACCTAGTGGCGGTAAGATAATGCTTTCATATGTGTTGGTGAATTTCATTAATAGGTGTATCTATAAAAAGGTGCATAAGAAAAAAACATGTCAAACTTTAAATGAATTCAGCATATATTTCAGTATATTTCAATATAATTTCATTTATTAAAAAAAAAGAAAAAAAAAAAAATCTACAACACTACAAGGTAATGCTAAAAAGTAAAAAAATAAAAAAATCCTTACCATACAAGAAGCTTAAAAAGATACGTCATAATACTTAAGTCCTACTGTACAAAGATATAATGCATAACAGGAAGCCTGAACTTGAGTTATCTGAAGTTCACATTGTCACTGGAACAGACTGTAAACACTTACCATTTGTTGATAGGCCACCATCATTTGAGCATACAGTGATTCGGATCCCGGAATAGGAGCTTGTGTGATAAGACAAACCACATGAGAGGTCTCCACTCTTCAATATTCACTTAATACAGGTGACATTAATTATTAGAGCTATGATAATCCCTCCATAAACTCACTACCAGTTTGAACTTACGGCCTAAACAATTTACCTGTGCCTGATGCCTATGTTCATGGGCTAAATAAGTTCACTTTTGACTTACATTAAAAAGGTACAGCCATGCTGACAGCTGAAGAAACTCCAGGCCTTAAGCCAGTTCAGAGTTTGAAGCTTAGAAACTAATGGATGTACTAAAAGGGAATTCAATTCACTGCTCTGACAAAACTAAAAACTTTCACATTCCCAATGTGTTAGTGTATTTGGTACTATGTCAAATAAGAGATGCAGGGAAACAATGCACACACTTTACGGGAAATGCAACTTTTAGATACAACAAAAGCCACATTTTCAAACACGACTTTTACTTGATACAACATACATGGGTATCTATTTTGCTTACATGTTAAAATAATGTAGTGTCAAAGTTTCATGGATTATGTCTGTGAATATGGTAGCAGTATTTCATGTCAAGCCAAAATGAAACACCCGTAACAGTATGACTAAGAGTTCAATCCAGGCTATGAAAGAAACGAGCATCTGGAACCAAACTAGCATGGCCTACATCTCAACACGGACAAAATGTTAAACTAGCACAGCTTATGTTTTCACACGCATCTGCCTGCTGGCCTCCTACCATGGATGAGCTTGTGGACGAGTCTGATCTGTGGAATACTGCACCCACAGTGTGCCCCACGCGTATTGTGCACAGAGTACCACTTTGGGAACCCTCGCTTTCACTTTGCCGAATTTGCTCAAACAGGGGCATCAACTCAGCCATAACGAAATGAGCTGTAACAAATAATCTATTCAATATGCATTTGAGAGGATAGTGATTAAAACTGGAGAAGCCTGACTTTTAGTAGAATATATTTATCTGAATTGAGCACAATTTTTTTTTTTTTACATTACTATGGCTCAATTTTGCTTCTCTTTCTACAACATTCTCATACAATGAAGTATATAGTTATCTGGATTTTTAAGGAACTCGTAAATTCAATAAGTTTAACCTTAATCATTCCCATTTTATGATGTGTCAAAGAACCTTCATTTAAAGCAACACAGAACTCTAGCATATGCTAATGAAAAATCAAAACATTTGCCAAAAACAAAGGGAAAAACTACACACGAATATCATAGTATAAAAGAAAAGGCTTCTCTGAATTTTACTAGTAGCACAAAGTGGAATTGACATCATGTGCCTCAAACAAAGATTTCCATGACTAAAACTTCACGATAGGATAAAGGAAGTGGGATATGGATTCTGAAATAAAATAAAATTCATATTAAACAAATCATACAATCAATACTGAATAAAAAGCGGCAAAGAAAATCATACTTAAAACAAAAACAAAAATAACTAAAAAGACGAATACAATGTGGTTTGTCTTTCTCACTAACTACACTAGCAATGTTTACATACCTGTTTAAGAAGCAGGGCATTCTTAAAACTTCTTATCATTGAACTAAACCATGCTTGGGCATGCATTACCAAATAAAATAAAACAAAATAAGAAGCTTTGCAGGCTGCCCCGGTGTCAGTCCATTCAATCAGTTTAGAAATTTTCTGTGCATTCCAAGATTTTTTTCCTTTCGCAAGAAATTATCAAAATGTAAAACTGGTATAGGAAAAATGTTGTCAGTTCACAATTTAGTGTTGTGATTTTGAAAAAGGAAAATAAAATTCTTTGAAAAGGGATTCTCTTGGAAGACATCAAGAATTCCTTCCTTCCAATATGATGGTTCACTAGCCATCTCTTTACTAAGGACTGGCTGGATGTTGAGGGACGGAATGATAACAGAACTCTCTGATCTGAGGTAATTATATAAATGCACCACACTTCACTCTCTCCAGTTTTGAATCATCTTTGGAGAAAAAAAAAAAAAAATCTTTAAAAAAATAGACTGAATAACCACGAAACTGAAGTGAACTGTGGGCACTCTCTCTTTTAAAGGCTGCAACGAAAACAGACCTTGATAATGGGCCCAGCGTTAGGCAGGGACTGGGATCGCTGCTGGGCAGGAGTGCCTGACTGGCTTGACACAGAACTGTTGGGGCTAGGCTTGGACTTGAACGGTGTCATGCTCTGGGATACGCCCTCCGCTAGGATGAACTGCTCGCGTAACTCCACGTTGGTGCGACCCTTGGCTATTTGGGTTTAGGTTCATACCCCAAGGCATTCAGATCCAATAATTGTCATGGTTTTATGGCCAAGGTAGGGTCGACGCAGAACGCAGAGTGGCGCGGCATTGGTAAGGTTGATAGGTTGTGGGGTGGTGAGGATATTGGGTAATTTGGTAAGGTTCAAAGTAAAAATGTTTAAATTTCAAGAAATATAGGTTTGGATAAGGTAGCGGAAAGGGGCAAGGAGGACGGATTGGGCAAGGGGAGAAAAGAAACAATGCAAACATGTTAGCTAATGACACTCCATCAACGAATAACTAAAACTCGACTAGCATTCAGCTACACTGAATAATTCAAGAATAATAAATGCTATAATACAATATTGCAAAGAAAATTAAAAATTTCATGCCTGAAAAAAACTAAGACCCAAGCATGCCATAGAAATTAAAGGGTATGAACAGCATGAGAGTGCTTCACGAAAAAAAATCCTAAGAGACAAGTTCTAAATGTTTTCAGTAAATATAGCAACCACAATAATGGCAAAAAAATCTTGTGTTGATCTGTTTTACCCTAAAAAAAAAACAAAAAAAACTAACAGCTTAAATCATAATATGAGGTGTCAAGTGTTTGTTCTATGTAAATAAAGAAATATGTTTGATAATCAAACACAATGATATTTTAACAAGAACAGAATAACACAGAACATAAAAGCAGATATAAAAAAGTACCAAGAATGATTATGTGCAATATATGATAAGAACTTTCAAACTGTAAAAAAAAGGCAAAAATAAAAACAAAGCAAAAAAACAACACAAAAAAAAGCATGCAAAGAAAAGCAGATTAAAAGCAGCATAGATTAGAACCATTATTGCCAAGCACTTAAGCAAATAAAAATAAAATCTTTTAAAGACACACTTGCTGTAATTAAAATATAAGCAAAAATTTATATTCTGTATACAGAATCATCTTCAAAGACAATGCACGGCTGTGAACATCTATGTAAAATTCTAAATCTCAAACTCCAAAGTTTTAAGCACTTCACATCAATGCTATCCCCAAATAATTTCTACGAAAAATTACATTCCAACACTATTAGTCAATATAAAAGAGATTGCAAAGTGTACGTAGCTCAAAAAGTACACTACTTTGTAAAATTTATACTTTAATTTACAGATTTTTCTGGGTGTAAATTCCAAATAATCATTACAACAACAATACACATTGTTAATGTTGCAAAACCACCAATAATCTCCACATCATTTATATTTGCCTTCAACCAATCTACTTCTATTTTTTTCTCTCTTCAAATATATTATTTTTAGACTACTGTATTCAAATTTATTAACTTTATTAATAAGTATAAATATTTTGATAAAAACAAAGTACCCTTACAATGAATGAAAATTTGAGCAACAAACCACTCTCTAATAAAAACAAATGTATAAATATTTATATCTATGTATAACTAAATAGTTACAGCCTGCCAACCCTACAAAACACAGCCCATATATATTCAACCAGGCAATAACTTTTAAATGAAATATCTTACAGGAGCTACGGCAGGACCCAGCTGGTGAAGTCTTTCCTCTCATAGGGCACCCATGCTCATGTAGTTCCAAATCTCCAACCTGCTCTAACTCAGGTATAGACGGACATACTAAAGTGTCCAAGCAGACCATGAAACAATGCAAAGCATGATGGAGGGAGATTGGGTACAGTGATGGAGAGCAAGCGTCGATGTCACAGGGTAAAACGTTTCGTATACGCATTTGCATTTTGACGATGATTTCCGATATTAGATGTGATATACCCGGTGCACACAGGCAAATACCGTTGGTGAAGTCCCCAGCAAAGAAGCATGCACAATGGGTTGGGGATGTAAAGGAAAGGCAGGTTAAAAGGTTATTTGGTCACAGGGATGAAAGGTTTGGAGGAATCGGGAAAGAGAGAAAGAGAAACAAAGAGTTAATTGGTTAATGGCTCTGATGCAAAAACTCTTGCAGTTACTTGTAAAATATGCTTTCTTCCATTTCTTTTGTTACTTTGAACTTGCATATTGTGTTAATATGTTTGTTATTCACATTCCATTTATTAGTATAAACAGCTGCAAACATGAATTTTGCTAATTCATTATATATATATATTACACAGAATATGTATATGTATAAACATGTCAGCATTATAATGACACATGCTCATAGATAATTGTTAGGAGATAAATGCCATCAAATTCTGTATTAGCATATGGTAAACTAATAAGAATACATATCATTAATCTCATAACAAACATTGCTATTGAATTTCTGTGTTAGCTATCTAAATTTACTTTCTCCTATGTCTACGCAGGCTTCTGAGCGTGGTAAGCTACAAACAAGCTTAGCTGGCAGAGGCTACAGGCAGATTATGTGATTGGCTGGCTTACATCAGTGTAAGTACATTTCATCATTCAAGTTGTCAAAACTCTTGTGACTGTGAACTGGTAATGGAGCATATGTAGTTCAAGAACTGGTACATATATTGCACATAATGACAATATATTTGCTTTCACCTAATTTATTTAAGAGGATTTATCACCTTGCATCCAAATATGGCAGCTAGTAAAACACCCCCAACAACCACTTGCCGTAAGGATTAACAACACGCAAAACACTGCACTCGGAATAGCTTATCTACTGTTTAATTAACTCAAGATATGAAACTAAGATAAACATTCATGAGACTGACAAGAATAGTAATTATTTACCATATAAATATCTATGATCATTTGAGAAAGAGACAGACTGAGAGAAAGTTCAATTAGACATCATAAACAAAGATGCAAATGACTAAGATCATTTTACGTGCAAAGGAATAGGAAAGATCAATCCATATTCTACTAATAATCAATAACCCTTTGCCAGATCAAGATAACAAGTACATTTTCAGTAATAAACAATATCATTCTCTCATATTTTTTTCTTCTCCTTTATAAGGACACTCATTATGAAACAGAAAAAGAATTTTGATCTTATTTCCTCTTTTAAAACATATCAACATCCTTCTATCTGATATCTTAGCAGAATACATCTACAATGTATCTTAGCCTCTAGTTTCCAAAGTAATAAATATAGTTCTTTTAAATTTTTCTTAGCTCATTATATGCTATGGGTAATGTCACTTCTATTAAGCATATGATTAAACTCTCATACATACCTCTGCATGGGTCATTCTTCACAAGGAATTCATCAAGTGCCACCCATCCACCGCCCACACGAACCATGACGGTTGACCGCAGGATACGGACCAGACGTAGCTTCTGACTGTCTCCAAACTAGTACAGATATTTCCATTAGTATCAATGCCTATTAACTCATCAGTAAAATTAAAATCTATTTACATATGAATGCAAATATTATGAATCAATGAAGGTCTATCCTTATGAACATACAGGAATGGCCTTAGAAAAGTAACTTACCCTATATTTGCCTTCTCCAACTTGGTGCACACGGAACTTCTGTCGGCAGGTGCATTTGGAAACCTGTTTCTGCACTTCATCATCAATCCTTTCTGCATCAGTCAAAGGTCCCTTGCGCTCCCAGTCAGGTCGTAATGCCGCAATGAACTCTTGGTAGTCAATGTAGCCATCCTGGTTGCGGTCAAATATATCGGCAACAGTTCCCATCTCCAAACGGCTTGTAGGGAACTCTGTAACAAGTAAATTTGCATTCAATAAGCATCAGTGAATGTCAGTCAGAAATATCCATAACTCAATCACTCTCCTCATTTAATAATGATGATAACAAATAAATAATAACTTCTAAAAATAAAAAGGGGATAAGAAACGAACTGGTCTTAAGGATTCCATCAATGAAGTCTTCTCTTGGCACAGCTCCATCATTATCAGAGTCCATCTTGCGGAACAGATCAGTCACACGAGATTTCTTGTGGTTCATGAACTTCATGAACTGTGGTAGATTAAAAGAGGTAAAAAATATAAAAGACTCATTAGCAAAGATCAACAACACATAAGGTCACTATAATGTCCTATATCAACACTGTTGCATTATAGAATGTGTATAATCTGTATATATACCAACTTATAAAATCGTCAAACATACCCTCTTCCTCCATTCTTCCCAGGAGAAGTTCTTAAGTTTCTCAAGCTCCTGAAGATAGTTGAGTTTGTCATAGAGACGTCGCATGCGTTCCCATGCCATGAAGCCAACATGCTGCCACTTCTCCCACAATGCTCTAGCATGAGGATTCTTGATCTGAGGTTCATCTCTCACACTGGCTTTGCTGTTGGGAAAATATTCATTATTAATAAATAGTTCCTCATAAAACAGAAGTCCCTTTTAAATTTTTGGATTCTTGCAAAATGATGCCAGATGTGCTTGCTACCCTCAGCACATCAACCATAGTAAAAAGGTTTATATTAATATATATAATATGCAAATACAAAACATAAAACAGAATAAAGGGCTTGCCATTCTGATCATGCCACTACAAAAGGCTTCAGAGGCAACAGGCAAGATTATTATACAAAAAATACAACATACAATAAAAAAGAAAAAAAAATTGCTGCCGGTTAGTCAGAAAACGCCTGTCAGGCAGAGAGCTGAAAGAGAAAAAAGTGTATTATATCAAAGGACAACAGAACACTTGGTGGTGGATCAACAAATTACCTAAGGTATGTCTAAGCTAATTGTGTTTATTGTGTTGTAGAGCAAGTGGTTATTGTTACTAGAGGAAAGAATTAAAGAATAATTATAATAAAACTAAATGGAGCTATGTTAAAAAAGGAAGGATGGCAAGGATTTCTGCTTTCCAATTAAAACTCATTTACAACTAGAAAAAAAAAGAAAAAGAAAAATTTAGTAATGGGCTACGAGAGTCAATAAATCAATTCACGTACTCCGAGTGCTTTCAGGTCAAAGATGTGAAAAAAAGGCTACGATTCATTCTAAAAAGCAAAAATAAAAGTAACTGAAGACTGTTAGTGGGTAAACTTGTAAAAATAACCAAGAAGAACGTTTTAATCTTTTTTTAATTGGTTATTAGAATTTCAAAAGGTACTGAAACCTCCCATGTTCATGAGTGAGGTATTAGCCAATACATTATTTAGCCAGTGAGGTAGCAAAAGTTATCAGAGAAAAATCTAAGGTTTGGCAGCTGTCTCAGCGCTGCTAACCTGCTCTTCCTTCCTCCTGCAGTACCAGTAGTAGCACCAGCAGGCGTTGGTGTGGACGTGGCAAAGCGCAAGTGTGAAAGAGGCCATTCTCTTTCTCGGTCAGCTCCGGGTGATAACTCTCGGGGTGGTGTTGTTCTAATGGTAACGTTTGTATTAAGGCATCACAATAGTAGTTGGAGGATTATTAAATATTATCCATATATCCTCATGTTACGGGTCGATTAAGGTAAAACCCTATCCCTAACAGCTTGGTTGCGTTAATATGTGTACATGTAAAACGTATCAAAATGTATACAGTGATATACACATATACAAAATAAAAATCACAAATATCAGCCTCAAACGACTAAGCATCAATCTCGATAGCTGTAGTATACCTTGCTCCAAACATCCAGGGCCGAGGGTATTCCCGAGTGGGTGTGATCTCACGAGCAGGTGATGCGCGGCTAATGAAAGCAAATCACTTAGTTAAAACAAGGGACGAAATAATCGTGACATTCTACCTTGTAGTCATATCATGCATTCGTGTTAAAATAATTCTACAACACAACTCAATACTTGGTTAATCATCAATGAACTACCAAACATGTATACAATGACAAATATAAAATGAATAAAAATTACTTTTCTTTTTGTTACAACGGATCAAGCAAAGGTTTAGCAATGTTGGCTTCTGCAAATTACTATTTCTATTTACAATTAATGTTAGTTTGTAAAAATCATTTGTCTTTTCCAAGATGACCTTTCATTAATAACCACAGGAACTGTAATAGTGTCAGCGTTTTTCTTTTCATTATTAAGATGGCCATAGTATGGAGAAAAAGACAAACAATATATCTGATAGACAATGACAACAACAAAATGTTACATGAAAAACTTTATCGGTTTACAATCTGCAAGAAACATCACAAATATTTTGGTTATTAAGCTTTGGACTTCTGTTATTAGGATGTCGATTATCTGTGTTAATTGGGAGATACTGTTCAAATTCAGTAAGCATTAGCGCAGCAGTGGAATGTCATTTTTACCTGGACTTTCGCGATTTGGGTCCTGGTGAAGATTCGCGATCGGGGCTGATACGGCTACAAAATAAAAGTGAAAACAAAAAAATCGTAAAAATTATTGGGGCCGAACACTACTGCAGACAAATCCTTATAGCAGCAAACTAATAAACACCACACTAACCAAATCATGTAACGTGCAAATGTTCCATTACAATCGTACTCTTCCACATTTGTTATCGAAAAAGCCAAATGTAATTCATTTCATTACCACTCAAAATATATAAATATACTTGAAAAATTGTGCAAATGACTACTCTGCCACAAAATGAATTACACTTGTTCTCGTAACACAAAAGCCTTTTTATTCTTTAAAAAACTCACCTAGAACGACGGGATGGATAATCATATTCTGGCGAGGATTCCCTTCCTGGGCTCACACTCTCACGACTGCAATACAAGTCATGTCAACACATGCACAGTGCAGGTTGAAGCAATACAGACAAGAACTCTCTTTGTGAACTAAGACATCTACACTGTGTTAACTTTTTAAATGAAAATTAGAAATTCAATACAATTTGATCTGACTTTTTTTTTTTTTTTGTGGGGATGGGGTGGAGTGGGAGGGGTGTAGTGGATGTAGGATATGGCCTGTTGGAAGATATATAATTCCTGCAGACTCCACATCCACTCTTTTGATAATCAAAGTCATTCAATTTGTATTAAAAATCTATCCTCATGTAAAAAACTTAACAAACATGCAAAAAGCATAAAAAAGGAGAATCATGTGAGATTCATAAGCTACAAGGTAGGACTATAGACCAGAGAAAGTGCAAGAATGTAACTGGACACTGTAACAAGAACAACCACTAATCTATGAAAAACTAGATTTGACAATGACAAACATTCACATGCATTAACAGTGTTCATCTTCAAACATTTATGGTCCAAATATCTAGAAAAAAGGACACCCACATAAAATCTGTTGGTGCTAGCAGAAAGATTTGCAAATTACCTATGGTAACATTCACAAAGAACTCTAAGGTTGAAAAAAAAAAGTGAAGAGAAACCCACAACAGATAAGCTTCATTCCTTCTGAAGAGAAACACTTCTAATGATCTATATGACAACTTACCCAAGGGATGCTCTAGAGCGCTTCTTGCCCTGGTTGGAGAGTGAAGGTCTCGGTTTGGTTGGCTTGCAAATACTTAGAACATCAGGCTCCTTCTTCTGCATCTCATCCATGAATTCCTTGTGGTCAGTGATCAGGCCTTCAATGGCTGGGATGTCATCAGGCAGTGGTTCAGCTTCCAAGGTTGTCAGGTTGTTCTCAGCCTAAAGAAAAAATTTGAAACAATTTGAATCTCAATCATAATATGAACTGATTTAGAAAAAAATTATGAACTTTACAGGAGCAGCTTTAGATCTGTACTAACCAAAACCTTTCCTCACCTGGATCAACCAACGCATCAATTCATCAAGAAGTCCAGCAAGATCACTAAGGCTACGGAGATGATCAGACAATCTGGTCTCCCTCTGCCTAGCCCAGGCCATGACTTCTTCCCATCTTGACTGAATAATTGTAATCCAGTGCTTGATTGTAGCTACACCATCAGGATGGGCCTTGGCAAGGATATCTTCTGCCAGTGCAATGGTGTCATCCTTCTCCTTCTCCTTTTGTGCCAGTTCTGCCATGAAGGATTCGTGTTCAGCAATCTGTCGCCTTGTTTCTTCTTCATCATCTGGCAAGGGGCCAGCATACCGAAGTTTCATTTCAGCATCAGACAGCCAATCAAGGAGCATATGCACAACCTGAAAAAAATTAAATAAACTCATATTACATATGCCAAGGACAAATTAAGTGTACTCACAGACAAATTTTGTTCAACTTAAAAAAAAAAAACATCACAAAAACTAACCTTGTGTAATCTTTCTGCAGCCTGCAAAGCCTCTTCTAAACGCAGTGTGCGAACTTCAGTGGCTTTCTCTACCTTCTCCCATGAGCTTACCAACTCAATGATCTGTGTTTTAATGGTAGCAGCATCTTCAGCACTAGCCTTGACAAGGAGATCATCAGCAGTGCGACGTACACTTTCAACCTGAGCTGACCTGTTCTTCATTTCAGCACAGAAAGCTTTGTGTTGTTCCACAAGAGCCATAACAGTGTCCAGATCTCCATGAACTGGTCCATCCTCCACAAGCCCAACTTCCACCTTCTTGAGCCAGTCCAGCAAAGCTTGGATGGCATCCTTGAACTGGCCAGTAAACAATAGAGCTTCCTCGAGTTTCCTCTGCCGATCTACACTCTTCTGGCACACACTATTCCATTTGTTCTTCAAATCTGCCATCATCTGCTTCAGTGTCTCTTCATCAGTCTTTGGTGCCTTGTTCTGCAGACTTCGACCCTGCTTCATTGTACCATCATAAGATGGCTGCTTAGCACCAAGGGCCTTCTGGAACTCCTTATGCTTAGCAATTTGAGCCTTGATCTTCTCTGGGTCGTTGCCCACATTGGATGCAAGGTCATCCAAAGTATTCTCAGCATCGGTGAGCCAGGATATGAGTTCATTCCAGTTATCATGGAAGTCCTTGGCTTCCTTGAATCCAAGGTCAAGTGAACGAGTTCTTTCAGCTGCCTTTGACACTACTTTTTCCCAGCGGTGCTGAACGGACACAAGCAAGTTCTTAATCAAAATAACATCCTGCTTTTGGCTGAAGTACTTCAGATGAGTTCCCTTCTTATCCAGATTGAGCATTACCTCACGATGAGCAGTAACATCCTTCTTGAAACTATTGTGTTCTTCAATTTGTTGGAGGATAATATCCAGAACACGAGAAACTGGCTGCTGGCCATTCAAGAAGTTCTCAGCCTCCGTTAGCCAATCAACAAACTGTTGCAAGGCATCGTGGAATTCAGTGGCCTCCTTGAGAGCAATTTCTAGTTTGATCTTTTTGTCATTAGCACGGTTCATGACACTTTCCCAACGTTGCTTGAGAGTTCTTAAACTATGGTTCAGATTGGATGCAGATCCTTCACGAGAACGTTTCAAGTACTCCTGGCCTTGCTGAAGTGTGCTCTCAACCTTGGAACGGTTCTCCTCTAGGTCATCGTAAATCTCCATGAAGCGAAGCAATTGCTCCTTTGCAGTTTCTGGCAAACCACCAACAGGCTTAGAAGTTGACAATGCAGCATCAATGTCTCCAAGCCAGAGCAAGAGATCCTGGATTTCTGCACTGAAGATCTGAGCTTCCCTCAATGCATTTTCCAAGTCATTCTGTTTGCTGCTAGCCTTGTCCTGCAGTTCACTCCATTTCTTGTTTAGCTCAGTCAATTTCTTCTGGGTGTTGGAAGCATCTTCAGAGCCCTTATCAGCTTCAATCAGCTGCCGTCCTGCATCATTAAGTGTGTCTACACTTGATTGATGAGCTTGGATGTCATTAATGGTCACCTTCAGCTTGGCAAGCTCTACTTCGATGACCTGTGGATCTCCAAACACAGGTTTCAAGTCATCCAGATTCTTGGTTGTTCTCTCTATCCAAACAAGCAGTTCCTTGAGGGCATGCTGGAATTGGCCGAGCTTGAGCAAGGCATATTCCAGGTCACGCTGTCGCTCTACAATACCCTTGAGGAGTTCGTCCCATCGTCGGTTGACTTCTCCCAAAGGCTCCATAATGGCGGCAGCCTGGTCAGGAGTGGTGCGTTCCTTGAGTTCTTGAGCTTGTCTGTTAAATATTGAATAGGATTAATATACATATAAAAACACTTGACACTCAATGTGCTTCAGATATACAAAGGGAATGTACGATCAACCACAATTACCGATTTAGCCATCTTAATTCTAATCTTTAATAAAAATTTATATCGATTTTGTTCATTCACACATCATTTTCTATTTGTAACTTGCGCTTTGATGTATCTGTTCTAAAATGCATCACACAACATAATACTATTATTTATCTAAGATATATTTATCATTAATGGTAATAAACTTGTTCATGCAACATATACTAGCATAAAATAGTAAATCTATTGGTCTCTTATCTTTTTTTTATTGTATATTACATGCATAAAACATATAAACAAATAAATTAAACGAAAGCTGTGAGCATTTAACATTAATTTGGTCCATGTAGCTACAACTATACTAAAGTCAGACCAAAAACTCATGTGCTAGACGTCAGTGCATTTCTTCGTGGTTAACACAATCATGTGGAAGAAGTATGGTGTAAAAAAATAACAATAACATATCAGGCATAAGCAAATCAGCAAATGTGATTTTTTATCAAACCAAGGATGTAACAATCACTGGCTCTACTAAGCTTCATATGCCTGCTAGTTGAAAGCAACACATCAAAATAACCCTAACTTGCCTTCTTAGACTCCTGGTGATAGTTAAACCATGAATGGATGTGAAAAAGACAAATGGCTCAATAAGGATAATTGTACAGAAATACTGGGCTGCAAATATTCTTTCATAAGTATATCAATGTATCGTTAAAAATTATGCAGCAAAGTCTGCTAATGCATAACAGGACAAAATTGGTTATCCTATCAAATAGCATATCTACAATAGACTAAAATTCATTTCTTAAAATTATTGGTTATGGATTGTAAAATTCAGCCGTATTCACAGAGGCAATATTTCTTACACAGCTTGCTTTAAGTCATACCTGTTCAGGGCCTCAACCTTGACCATGTGTGGGTCAACTTCATCCTTGAACTTCTGCAGTTGGTTAATCTGGCCCTTGATGGCTTCAATGTCTCCAGCAATAGCACCCATTCCTGAGAATTTGTCTTCTGCCTTCTCCAAGAACTCAAGCATGTTCTGGAATTGCAAAATATAAGAATATCAGTATGAAGAAGCTTAAGCAACATATATGAACAGGAAATATATTCAATTTCATAATTGTTTTGCCAAATGATAACCTGCATTCAGACTTACCCTCAGTGTGTCATGGAATTCCATAGCCTTCTCCATGGCATCAATCAGGTTCTCCTCTCGCCTGGCATACAAGGCTGTGACATTATCCCAAGCATAATCCAGATCTTCAATGTTCTTCTTGACTTCAGGCTTGTCTGCCTCTCCACAGAGGTTCATCAAATCTCGTCCAGTCTGGCGAACTTGTTCCACCTCTGGCTTTGTTTGGTCTATCTTGTTCTTGATCTGTGAGAGTTCATCTCTCTGTTGTTTGATTGCCTGAGGCTCTACAGCAACTGGTTCTTGGGCCTTCAGTGTGTCTTGCAGGTCCTTAAGGGCAGCCATGACACCTTGTAGTTCTTCCCAGAATTTCTCAGCCATTGCAAGTGCATCTTCCAGAGATTGGCCACGCTGGGTAGTTGCCATTTGCACATGGTCCCACAGCTTGTTCAGGCGATCCAACTTGTTCTTGATATCCTTGACAGCAGGGTCATTGCGTGAAGCCTTGTTGATGACATCCTCTGCAGCTGCTTTAACAGCAGTAAATGCTGTCTCCTTCCTGTCAAGGTCATCAATGATACTGTTGTTCTCCTGCACTTGTTCATGGATCTTCTCAGGATGGGCAGAGATGGGCTCAGCATTCTTCACCTGATCTGCAGTTTCAGCCAAAGCAGACAACATGCCATCCAACTTGTCTGAGAACTGGCTGGTTTCTTGAAGAGCATCCTCAAGAGCTTGTCCACGTTCACGAAGTGCATTCTTCAGGGCATTGTAACGGTCATTATCACTTTCAAGGAGATCTTGAATCTTGTTGCCATCTTCTTCATTGACAAGCTTAAGAAGGGCACCACCAGTCTTGTTCAGTTTGTCAAGCAATGGCTTGTGGTCAGCAATGGACTGCAAGAAGTTCTTGTTTCTCTCCATTTGACGGATAATCTGTTCAGCACGCAGTGCTGGGGTATCCATCACCATTGCTTCATTCTCCATGCCTGAGAGCCAGTCGTCCAACTCATGATGAGTCTCAAAGAAGTGCTCTGCCAGAGGTAGAGCTTGCTCCAAAGTTGAAAGCCTATCTGATGAAAGCTTAGAGACAGATTCCATGGTCTCCTTGAGGTCATCCATCTTTTCTCTCAGTTCACTTGTGTCTTCATGTTGTGGTGCTTCCCTCAAGACCTTCTTAGCATTGGACAGGACGTCACGCACTCTGCCCTTCTGACTGGCAACATCGTCATTCAAAGCCTTGTGCTCCTTCAGTTGGATTCGAATCTCATCAGGATCCACACTTGGAGGTTCTGCTTCCCTGACCTGACCTTCCACCTCACGGAACCAGTCAAGCAACTCATCAATGTCATGTGTGACCTCCTGTGATCTCTGCTTGGACATATGAATTCTCTCCATCCTTCTCTGGATCTGTTCGCAGATCTGTTCAAACCTCCTGTTATCTCTTGTGACGAGTGTTTCAATGTTTGAGGCACCCTCACCTGGAGAGATCTGACACAGTTGAGGTCCAACCAAGTTGACAGCTTCTACCAATGGGCGATGTTCTTGGATCTCTTGAGCCAACCTCTCAATCTCTTCTTCCAACAGTCCTTGGCCTGAGGAGTCCATGCTCTGGAGCTGTCCCTCAACAGACAGCATCCATGAGCCCAGGCGATCATGAGCACTATGGAACTGTTGAACCAAAGGCAAGGCTTCATTGGCAGACTTGTGAAGGTCAGTTGCCTTAGCACTAAGGTCATTGTAGCGTCTTTGGATAGAGTCTAATTTATCCTTCAGCTGAAGAGCTTCATCACTGGAAATGTGCTTCATGAGCTGGGAACCAGCTTCCATTACCTCAGAAACCTGTTTTTCATGAGATACAACTTCTTCTCCCAGATCTGTAAGTTCATCCATTTGCTCCAAGAGCTTCTCAACAAACACAGAAAGGATACGATACTTGGAGAGCCTTGCTTCCATCTCATCCATCCATGAGAGTAGGTCCTCATAAGTCAGAACAAGATGGCGTAGACCCACCTTAGATTCTTGCAGAAGACGGCCAAGTGCTTCTGAGTCTTCTACAAGCTGGCCATAGCGGTCTGTGGTCGACTGCAATCTGTCAGCCAATGCATTGGCTTCATCATCTCCAATAAGGTTCATGAGAGCTGTAGCTACATCAGTAAGATCATCAAATGCAGGCTTCTGGCCAAGGATTTCATCATGAAGGTTATCATGCTCATCAAGAAGTTTCTGGATCTTTTCTTCATCTGATGGTACGGTGCTCATTTCCTTGAGTTTCTTTTCAGTGCGGTCAAGCCATTCTATGATAGGGTTCAGTTTGTTTTGGAACTCCTTGGCAACCTTCAGTGTTTCTTCAAGAGCCTCCATGCGCTCCTGTGATCGGGCACTGGCATCATCAAATCTGTTGAGCAAATCATCCAACTGTCCTTCTACGTTAGCCTTCTCTGAAGGTTCTAGATCTGCAGCCAAGCTACGTCCCATGGACAAGAGTGCCTGCATCTCATTCTGTCTATCAAGAAGCATCTTTCTCAAGAACTTTTGCTCCTGAGCTTGAGCCTTCACCACAGAGTATTCACCTGAGATAGGTGCTTGATTTTCCATCATCTCTTCAAAGTTGCCAAGCCATTGCAACATACTGTCCAATGCATCCTGGAACTTGCCAGATTGCATCAAGCCCTTATCCAGAGCCTTCTCTCGGTTGCCGATCATCTCCTTCAGTTTATTCCAGACATCATTCATGGCATCAATATCATCCTCAAGATCGTGGGTATTAACACCTGATGCAGCACTCTGAATGAGCCCCTGACCAAGCTTATTGCATTCAGTTACTTGCTTTCCTAAAGCTTCAATGCGTTTGCCCTTAAATCTCTTGAATTCCTCCTGTTGAGCAATGATTGTGTCAACATCGGCACCAACTGGTTTAAATGCTTCACCTTCCTTGTCTGTCTCGTTGATCTCCTCCATTACCACTTAGTGTCAAGGTCCTTGCCACGGACATCACAGCGATCTTGGATTTTCTTCAGCTGGCGACCAAGCTGCTTAATCTGGTCCTCGGCAGTGCGGGTCACCTATGGCAAGATTGCCTGCATCTCTTCTGTCTATCAAGAAGCATCTTTCTCAAGAACTTTTGCTCCTGAGCTTGAGCCTTCACCACAGAGTATTCACCTGAGATAGGGCTTGATTTTCCATCATCTCTTCAAGTTGCCAAGCCATTGCAACATACTGTCCAATGCATCCTGGAACTTGCCAGATTGCATCAAGCCCTTATCCAGAGCCTTCTCTCGGTTGCGATCATTCCTTCAGTTTATCCAGACCTCATTCATGGCATCAATATCATCTCAAGATCGTGGGTATTAACACTGATGCAGCACTCTGAATGAGCCCTGACCAAGTTATTGCATTCAGTTATTGCTTTCCTAAAGCTTCAATGCGTTTGCCCTTAAATCTCTTGAATTCCTCCTGTTGAGCAATGATTGTGTCAACATCGGCACCAACTGGTTTAAATGCTTCACCTTCCTTGTCTGTCTCGTTGATCTCCTCCATTACCACATTGTATTTCTGGTAGAAGTTTTCTAACTTGTTCAAAACAGTGTCAAGGTCCTTGCCACGGACATCACAGCGATCTTGGATTTTCTTCAGCTGGCGACCAAGCTGCTTAATCTGGTCCTCGGCAGTGCGGTTGTTACTGCCAGTGAACCCTTGAGCAACAAGATCCTCCAAGGCTGCCTTTGCATCTTCAATTTCATCAGCCTTCTGGTCAACCTTAGTCAAGAAGCTCTGTAGCTGATCAATCTGCCCTGTTACAGTCTTGATGTCTCTACCAACAGGGGCCATGCGGTCAATTTCATCATCTAATCCTGTAAGTTCTTGACCAACATTCTTCACAAGAGCTCCAAACTGGTTGACAGCCTGGGAAGCTTCCTCCAAATCATGGCAGCGTTCCTCAAGCTTACCCTTTAGATCACCATAACGGTCTGACAGTCTTTCAACTTCATCCTGAATATGGGTAGCATCTGATCCTGCAGAATCAGCAGCAGTGCACAGATCTTCACCCTTGTGTCTTACATGGTCAACCTGCTTGCCAAGAGCATTGGTTTCATCAAGCAATGCCTTCATTCTCTCCAGTGATTTGGCATCTTTGCCACCTCCACCCAAAGTATCAAGAGAGGCAAGTTTGTCGCCACAACGTTGGAGTGTGTGGTCCAGGTCTCTTGCCTTTTCATTGAAGTCTGCCAATGTTGCTGAAACATCATCAAGGTCTTGTGCTCTTGCCATGACAATGGCATTAAGGTTGTCCCAGCGCTCCTTCATAATGCCAAGAGCATCATGAACTCCATCATGATCTGTGTCAGTGCACCCAACAAGCTTATCTCCTGCTGTCTTGTTGTTCTCAAATTCTCCACTGTGACGAGAAACATCATTCTTGAAAGCTTGGATCTCCTTGATCTGCTTATCAATGGCCTTCTTTGTGAATGCAATTGGATCCAAGTTCCTTGCCTTATCTTCAGCCTTGTCTAGCCATGGGTTGAATTTCTCTTGCATGTTATGGAACTTATTGCAAGTATCCATACACTTCTGAAGTCTGGATCGACGCTCCACAGCAGTTTTGCGTACATTATCCCACTCATTTTTGATTGCATCCAGAGTTGAGGACAACTGTCTGTTCAGATCCTTTCTTGATGACTTGGCAACAATTTCCTTGCCCTTATTAATCATCATAATGACTTCATGCTCCTTAGCCATCAGATCCTTGTAGACTGGCTCGAAGTCACTCACCTGGTGAGAGAGGATATCTCGGTCTGCAGAAACCAGAAGTTTGTCCTTGAGATGAGCCACTTGGTCAGCTAACCATTCCTGGATGTCTTGGCATGACTGGCCAAACATTTCTTCATCTCTGAGGGAGGCTTCCAATTCTGACTTTCTGTTACCAAGTTTCTTCTCCAGGTTATTGAAAATTTTGTTGAGCTGGGTGACCTTAGACTTGATATCAGACTTGGATGATGGATCAGAGAGAATGGAGACCAGGTGTTCACCCAAGCCCTCCAGATCAATGAGAGGAGCACGTACTCCCTCCAAACCTTTCTCTAGCTCTTGCACAGCCTGAATTTGCTGAGCTGAATCAGCACCGCTGGCTGAAACTTCATCAAAGTCTTCACCCAACTTGAGCAAGGTATCATGAAGCTTGTTGTAATTATTGTAGAAATCTGTGCTAGCATCAGAGGCAGCATTAAGAGCAGAGTCTCGAGCATCCAGCTGGCCAATGAGCTCAGTCCACTTGTTGTTGATGGCATCCAATTTGTCATTGATCTTCTTTCCAGCCAGTGAGTTGGGCTCACAGACACTGATGATCTTGTCTCCAGCATCATTCAGATCATTAAGCTTTGGCTCCTGTGCCTGGAATTCATCCCTGAGCACCTGCACCTGCTGAGCCTGCATCTGGACCATGCGAGGATCGGAAGCAATGGGGCCCAAGACAGTCATCATCTTGTCCTTTGAATTAAGCCAGTTGTTGAGAGCGTCATGGCTATCGAGGAAATCTTTGGTATGTTCTAGGAAGCTGAGACGATCCTTGAGGCGACCCTGGAGCTCCTTGTAACGATCATTTACAAGGTCAAACTGATCTTGCAAAATGTCAGCACCAGGAGCAGTCGGCCTCTTCTTGATCAACTCAATGACCTGGCTCTTCAGTGAGTCAAGGGCAGGCTGTTTCTCCAGCAGATCATCTTGGATGTTCTTGCACTGCCTATTATGCTTATCTGCTTCCTCTTTTGTGGTGGGCACAGCATCTCTTGGCATGCTGCGCTCTGCCTTATCCAAGACGGTGTTGAGAGAGCGAATGCTATCACTCAATTTCTTCAGCTCCTCCTTCATTACATCAAGGTCATTCTGACGGTCACTTAATCTCATTCCAATCATTTCATAACGGTTGTTCACTTGCATCAACTCCTTCTGGATAGGACTCATATCTGCAAAAGTACCAAGAAAAAAAGGCATTACTCCTATTATATATATAAAAATTTAAACCATAACCAGATTTCCATCCTCTTCACTCCATGCACTGAATATCTTCATCTTGGACTTCTAGTCTACAAACCATTCCACCAACATCTTCAAAAAGGCAAATCTCCTCCTGCCAAGCATTTCTCCCAAAAACAAACCTTGTAGATTTTCCCAGTACAATACATGCAATAACCACAGGCACTGCTGACTAACCATCGAGGTGGAATCCTTCCTGTGATGTGCGCCTGCTAGCATAACCACCAGGGATGGGTGACATGGGGCCAGACCCGTTGAAGCCCATGAACTTCTGCGTGGGTGAGGGACTACGTGCGTCCTGTGACACTCGCCTCACTACAAACACACACAAACCCCAACAAAATGCAGCATTCATACAAGCCAAATAAAAATGCTCAGAAAAAAGTAAAGTAGATTTTGAAATGATATGAGAGACATCCCAAGGATTGTTTCTTTCTATTTTTAGTATTCCAGAAGATAGTTGTAAAATTGTGATTGTGATCTTTAATAAAAATCTATATAGAAATCAACCATTGGGCTGTCTCGAGCAGTCAACTTCAAGACTGATTTTTTAAAGCTGTAAGCTAGAAATACAATGAAAAAGCAACAACAAATGAAAACAGTACTTGTTATTTTAATCAATAACTGTGCAAAAATAATCAAGGATAAGAAATAGGTATAAAAATAAATAAACTGCAGTTACAACTGTTGAACAAAATAAATTAATAAAAATAGCAAATTCCTAGAAAAAGCAAATATGTGCAAGCATCATTCATAAATGCAGAATGTGCTACAATCAACTGCTTTTGCTCAGCACATTTTAAAAACATGCATTCATTTAGTACCAAAATATATAACATCAATGTAAATATTCTTTATTTTTTTGCTTTAATATTCTTTTACTGCCAATCAAAAAAATAAAACATTGGTACCTTCAAACGAATGCTTCACACAGAAACCTAACACAAACATGCACAGCAATATTAAAGCTAAATTCACAGCATCAGAAAAAGCCTATGAACATGACTCTACACTTCTCCCCCCATCCCATAAAGAAAAAAAAACTCATTTGTCTATCCCCTTCTAAACCACACACAAAACTTGCCTCTCTGCTTAACATTCCCGTCACTGACTGAAGAACATGATCTCAAGTTAGGGCAATGCTTACCTGGGGATTTCAGAGGCGACGTGATCGAGGGACGCTTGGCTGGTGTGACAGATGATCGACGTCTAGTCGGACTCTCTGGCCTCTCACCTCGCAGCAGGGCATCATATGCATTGCCAAGTTCATTGAGTTTGTCAATGGTGCTAGCATATTCACGGAATTCCTTGTGAAGTGGCTGGACATTGAGGAGAATATAGCATTATGTTCCTAGAAAATTAATTGTTCAAAAAGGATATAATTCAACTCCACATAGGCAGAACACTTTGAATGGGTGTGTTTACAGTGGCTAAGATTCAGAAAAAAGAAGAGAATGCTTTCTATGGATTACAATATCTTACCTTGAGTTCTTCATTTTGTCTCTTAACAATCTCAGTCTCAAGGCCAACAGCCTGGGCATTATCAAGGATGTTCTCTGTGGTGGTGAGCCACTGAGTGCAACGGTCTCGCAACTGTTCGTATGCGAGGAGCTGCTCTGACCTCTCTTTGCCATTGCGAGCTCTCTCGTCCAAGGTGTCATTTAGCTCCTTCCACTGGCCCTCGAGGTTCTGTTGATTAAAAGTTCAATACACTTGTCAAATATATGAAAAAAAAATCTACTTAAAGATAATATAATACCATTAGCACATATCACAAAGTAATCAAACATCAATTTGATAAAAGCAAAAAAAATCTGAAGTCATTATATTAAAAATGGCTAATTTCTGCAAGGCTAACCTTGATCTTGTCCTTTACAGGTGCTGTGTCTGTGACATCCTTCTTCGACACAAGTTCCTTTCCTGTCTTGATCATGCCATCAAAGTCACCTGCTCTTGCATCACGCTGGCGTGCAATCTCATCAATCTTGCGAGCATAGCTGGAAAATGCGATAAAAAAATAAATATTTGTAAAAATCTCGCCGTTTAGTAAAATGCCATATATGCATTTCCTAAAAGGCCTTTGAAAAGAGGAATTGTAGGAGTGATAACACATTAGGAGCGAGCGCTTTCCTTTACCTTTCGACATCGAGAGAGAGCACCTCCCTCGACTCCACGACCTCCACGATCTCGATGTACCATTCCTCGAAGTGCTCCACGGACACCGTAAAGGCCTCGAGCTGTGTGGATACGACCTCCAGGTGGTGACCTCGGGCCTCGGACCGCTCAACCACCTTCTCGAAT